TAGTACACAAGAACCTGCTTTCTCTACACCTTTCCTCTCCACTTCCTAACGTATGTACAACTGAGACACCGATTTAAAAATCATTACTTAGTGCTAAACTCTGTCTACTCTAGTAGTTCCAAATGAATGCCACTTACCTTTAGCATTATATTCAGAAAAATACTTAAGCCTCAAGGTCCCCAATAATCTGGAGTACTGAACTAGATAACCACCCTAAAGACACTTCTGACAGAAGTAATAACGCGTTACTTAGAGAGAGGTTTCCAGAACTTGCTGTTAGAACCTAGCGCATACGGACACCATGGACGCCAGTCCCCGTTCGCACAGTTTACTCGCAGCAGTCCTGGCCGCCGTCAGCCTGGCCTCGGCCTGTGTCCGCCGGAAAGTGCCTGGTGCACCAGTCACCACAGTCCGCTCCTAGGTGGCTCCCGTTTTCTCTTCTTTACTGAAGGGCTGTACGGAGCCAGGCTTTACCCAGGACAGGCCGGCCACGTGAACACTTTTATTGTGCTGTTCTTCAGGCTTCTTCTAGGCACAATCAAAACAGACACCAGAAAGCGACTGATGAGATGCAAGCACTGTGCAAACCCGTCTCCCCACAGGTGTCTGTGCAGAATGAGCTTAGAAAGGGGTCAGCAAGTGGCCATCTCAGAGACGGCCAGTACTCACCTTCTGAGTCAGCATCTTCTCTCTGGCTTCGTCGTGTATAGCAGGGTTCCATGGAGAAAAGCTTAAGGAAGAGAAAAACATTTGAAAACTGCTTGGCTTACTAAATCTGCGGAACATCTGTTTTTTAATACTTAAGCCAATTGCCATAACAAAACCTCATAAGAATTTAAAGAAAAGTCTTTAATCAGTTGTCAATGTCTGAGTTTTAGGCATTATCTAAATTATTTTCTCACATGATAACCACGCTGTACAGAGTACTTTCCCCGGGTTAGCTCATTTAAGCCTCGAAACAATCCCTGAGGCACTGTTATTGAAGCACCGGAAAAGCAAGTAATTGTTCATCACAAAGCCAACCACTCCGTGCAGAGCCCAAGACTTTACCCACTGCGCTACGCTGCCTCCCCAGCACCAGCATGCGGAGCGCTAAACCACCCATCCTTCAGGTCTGTTCTCCCGCCACTCGGCCCCAAGGTCAAGTGTCACAGCTCCAGCACCCACTGTCCACTCTGGTCACTCTCCCCTACGCAGCTTCCCGCCCTCTCCCCATCTGAACGTGGACGGGCTAAGGCTGTTTCAGAGGGGCTCCTGCTGACAGACACTTGAAACAGCACATGACAGGGCCTCAGGGACCAGTCACTAAATAGCTCACCACTGGCACAGCGTGCCTGTCGATGGAAAGCCTAGTGTTTAAGGAGCCGAAGGGGTGTCTGAAATCTGTTACAAGTAGTCAGGGTTGTCGGCGAACAGGTGATATATCTTCCCTTTCACTCCCCGTTTTAGTAAGTCCCCCTGGACCATGGCACACAGGGCTGCAGGGTGCAGTCTGTGCAGGTGGGAACCACTTACCTAATGGCATAGGGGTCTTCTATTTTAGGCTGGTCAAACAGGCGGGCCGTGCACAGCTTCACACTGTCAACCACTTTACTTTTGAACAGATGCACGTCTTTCTCATACCTGTGTTAAAAGTGTAAGTCAGAACGCTACCCACGCACTCTCCTCCGCTGCCTTCTCAGAGCTAGCTGAACTAAAGTAGTGACCTACAGGACCGCAGCCTCGGGGTGCAGGGGGCTCGCCGTGTCGATCTTGTAGAACACTCTCCTCGCGTACATCAGCACCTGCCAGATGTGGTTGTGGTTCCGCCTAAGGGAGACAGGCGCGTGACTGAGGTGTCCTACTGACTCTGTCACTAAAGGAAACACGTAGTCACTCACCTCCACTTGGCAAATGCTCTCTTCACATCCAGTTCGCCTGAGGAGGGGTCCACTAGCGGGTGGAAGACGGGGATGTCAAACACCAAGCGCTATATGAGGGGAGACGTAGCTTTCAGTGGGGGCCATGGAGGCAGTGGGCCCACAGACGGTGGTAGGAAGTGTGTCTGGACAACGCAGTTGTGCTGCACTTAACTCCTCTCCCCACTGTCCTGCGCCATGAAGTTTTGCAGGGAGGGCTGCCCTACCCAGCACCGCGGCCCCGAGTGCTGTCAGCCTCGGCGTGGCTGCGAGAGCACAGGCGCAGCTCCAGGTGGAGGCTGACGTGGCAGAGGACACAGCGAGGCACAGGCCCTCCCCCCAGAGCCCGAGGAGCAGACAGACACCTTAGGAACCATCATCAGAGTGGCTGGTCAGGAAAGGAACCCAGACACCTTCAGCGCCCTGTGGGCCTCACTGGCCAGTGCACGGAGCCAGGCTGTAGCTCCCACTTACTGGACAGTCGCCGTCCGGGTAGTTATCAGGGATGTACACTGTGAACTTAAATACTCCGTCTTGGTACAGTCCATGCCGAATGAAGATCACTCCAAACCACACTGCAGGAGAAGCAAGCGCGGTTAAGGCCTAGTGTCAGAGGACCTGACGTGCCGCCGCTGTAGAGCATGTGCTTACCTAGCGCTGAGCGGTAAGACGGCTGCACGTAGACTCCCGGCAGCTTCTGCTTCACCAGCAAGGTGCTACAACAGAGCAGAGCGGGGCCGGACGGAGGTCAGTGACCGACCAGCCACCCACGGTCCTGTTCTGGGAGAAACAGTCGCTCTGGGGCAGCTGAGGCCCTAACCCGCCAGGCCCGGTCATCCCAGCCCCCACCTGGCCCCGGCGGCTGCCTTCTACTGGCTTCGCCACCAAGAGCCCAGATAAAGAAATCCAAGCCACACACAGGGACACGCTAAGAATCAAGTTTTCCTCCCAGAAACCCACCTCCCCGAGACACCATCCCAGAAACTGAACTGGAGGTAGATGAGAGGACCGGGCAAGGTGCTGCTTCTGTGCCTGCCCAGCAGAGCTCACCCACACACATGCAAAAGCCACTAAAACAGCGCTAGGACATGAATAGTCCCATGCCAGTGCCCGCACGGAGGCGATGCCTTCGGTGTGGCCCCGTCCCGGGGCAGAGGGCCGTGTGTAGGTTTGTCCGCGGTGTGCTTCTGCTCTCACTGACCCGCGGCGCAGGCACGCCCTCTGGGCCCGGGGTGGGAAGCGGTGGTGCCCAGATGGCAGACACAGGCTGCTCGGGCTCTTTGGGACCTCGTCCCACCCCAGCCGTGCCGGGCTGTTCCTTGCCACGGAGCCATGAGCCCCAAAATGAGCTATGAGCCCAAACAAGTCCGGCTGTGAGCTGTAAGTGAAGTCGCACAGTGGGCCTTTGTTGATAGTTTTCACTACCTATTTGCCTAACTTGAAGGCAGCCACTCCTTTTAAGTCACCAACACTGAGCGCGCCCACAGCAGCGTGGCTGACAGGTGCAGCCCCCGCAGTGGTTTGCCAGAGGGCCGGGTGTGTGCTGCGCAGACGGAAGGCTCGGTGCCACAATGGAAGCCTGTCCGGCGCACTGCCAGCCTCCAGCACAAGGCCCCTTCCACAGCCTGCGGGCCTGCCACCACGTCACTCGGCCCTCAGACAGCGGCTCAGCCCCTCTGCCCTTACAGCACTGGTGCTGGGACGGAGGGCTCAGGGGTGCCTTTAAAATAACTGCGTGTACAAAGGAATTTCATGGTCTTTTTTCCAGGTGTGCCACCGATTTATAACTCGGTGTCTTACAACTGGGCTTAGAGACTCAGGGGTTTTGCTTTACTGCGGCACTTGTTCAACCCAGTTATCAGCACCCAGCGCACGCCTGCGACACTAGGCTAGGACACAGGCGGCTCAGTCAGTATCAAGTGCTGTGTGCAAAGGAATTGCTAAATAACAAAGTAAGAATTCTCCACACTTCCGCCCTTGGACAGATTCTTTAATCAGGTGCCACCTGCTCTCAGTCACTGGGAGCCCCGTGGTAGGCAGGCGCTGCGCCATCACCTCCTCGCACCCGCGCACGTGCAACCGCAGTCCAAACTTGGTTTCTGCGACCAGTCAGAGCCCACACCTTTATGACATCCCTGTGTCACCTCCTCCAGCTTTGGGAGGTCACACAGGAGAAGTCAAATCCCTTTCTAGTGACAGGCCTTCTCTGAACTGACAGTTCCAGTTCCTTCATTACTGCCTCCCAGGGCCTGGCTTCCCACCTCCGCCTACTGGGACCGCCTCCTCAGGGGTCGGGGGCCTCTCACAAGGTGACCCCCAGAACACAGCACAAAGCCTCCAGCGGGGCCTGCCCCGGGGAAGGCTGGATGGCGACGCTCCCACTGTCCCATCCTCCATGACCTCTCAGGAGGTGAATGCCTCACTTCCTGGGAAGGAAGACAATTTTAAGTCCCTGACCTGCTATCCGTCCTTACTAAAGCTTCCTTTCTCCCCCTTCGTGCTCTCCATACAGGCGTGGAAATCAAAGCACACATTTGCCTTTAAATCCTATTTACCCAAGATCTGAACGAGAGCCATTACATTTGCACAAACATACGACAGTCCTTAGGCCTTGGTTAGAAAGGCTATACTGCCTGCCATAGCCTCCCTCTCTGTAAATATCAAGGCTGACACCGCGGAGGTGTGTGTGTGAGCTCTGAGATTAAACGGCCACTAAGTGAGCCCAGTCCATCACAGTACATTTCACTCTTTACCTTCAAAATGTAACCAAACAGCTATAAGAACTTACAATTCTGCAAGGAGGGAGTACTCCAGGTAGAAGGGGCCGTAGGAAGCATGCGTGCCATTGGTTGACTGTGCTGCGGGGGCAGGAGACGTGGGCTTCGTGATGGGCAAAGCATTCTTGGGAATAGAAGGCAGCTGTTTCTTTGGAGCCGTGCGTGGAGGGCTGGTCTTCCCTTTCCCCGTCACTGTCTTCTCTTCACCGTCTGATCGCTATTCAGGACGAAGCGGGGAGAGCATCTGTTAGAATGATGCTTAAACCGCAGGTGTGTGTGTGCTGGACTCAGTCGCTGACCTAAAAGCTGGAACTGCTCTTTTGCAAGGACATCCTGGCACCAGGGCCGAGATGACTTGAAAGGCCTTTGTGCAGGGCCCTTATCCAAAGCAGAACAGAGCTGCAGCAAGACCAACACATTGGAAAACTCCTGTTGGCTGCGTCCTAGAGACCAGGAAGCCAATATTCACGGGATTTAAGTGAAACAAAGAAATGATTTTTCCTGGGGGTCCCCGAAAGAGGGCCAGGGGTTACTAAACAGTTAGACAACTCTGCAAGACCAGCACCGCCCCTGAGCAGCTCAGAAACCAGCGATGAGTGAAGTGAGCCACTGCCTGACATTAGCGCTCGGGTTAGAAAACAAGGAAGGAAGCTGTTCTCTCACTTGCCATGGGTCCGACCGTGATCCTGTCCCTAATGCATATGTTGCCACAGTTGGACTCTCCCCCGCACAAATCATCGTCCACAGTAGAGAGAGGCCTAGGGGAGTCAAAAGAAACTACCGTCTGGCCATTTAATTACTGCCTTAAATGTATGTCATGTGCCTAGAAAAAAGATGAGCGGCGGTGCCCTCAGAGCGGTGGCATTATGTGTGTTTTGTCTTTGCGTACATTCGGCTTTCCTAAAATGTATTATTTTTTGCCACTAAAAACAGACATTTTATTTAGAAAAATTAAACCAGTGGCCTCGAGCCAGACTTGACCACACTGGGCTAGCCTTTCCCAAGGCTTTCCTGCCCACAGCATCTCGAGGTTCAGGAAGATTTGCAACTGCAGGGATGTGTGACAGTCATCACGTGTCAGCATCGCCTACCCAAATAGTCCTACTCAGTGCTACCTGAGTCATTTCTATTGGAGATGCGATCTCCGTCTCAGAAACTAACTTTAATCCACAAAATAATTGGTTCTCAAAAGTAAAGCCTGAACTAGAAAAACCAGATGATCTTGTTAAGATTACAGGGCAACCCGAGTATGAATTCTTTTGGCCTCTGTTCTTATGCAAACGGTTTCCTCACCACATGGATCAGCTGTACCTACTTTGCGTCCAGAGCTTGCAGACATGCTCCAGAAAGGGTTCATAACGTGCGCTCCACACAGAGAGGTGCAGCCGCCTGCGTCATCCAACTTCCGTCCCCAAAGTCACGTCACCTGCAAATGAGAGGGGAAACAGCCAACACCCAAAGTTAAGACTTCTGAAATAAGAACTCAATGTGCCATTCTCCATAGAAATACCACACACATTATATAACACAGTTACAAAAACCCAGGGGAAAAATGCCTTCAGAAATCGTTTCCTTCAGTACCCCGTCCATCTTTTGACTCCAATGTCTTCCCCCCTTTAAATACCTACAGGAGTCTGGGTGCCAGGGCCGGGCCGGGATTCAGAATACTCAGTGACACGGCTCAGCTTTGGTGCCAGAAACGCAGAAGCTCCGGGCTGTGACGGTGACGGTCGCTGCTAGGGTGCTCGTGGGCCGATGACTGGGAAGGCCACGTTCAGAATGCACTGTACCCGCTGACTCCAAGCCTAGCACTGCTTGGGGTTGTGGGACATTAAACGCCCAAAGGGGCCGACTTAAGCATGTCCCCAATGAGTTGTCCTAAGCACAAAATGATTCTCTCTAGCGAAAGTAGCAGCCAAAGAAATAAGAAAAAAGAGGAGGGCGAGCGTGTGGGACAGGGCGACCGGGGTCTTGTCAGGACCATTCCCAAGAAACGACCTTTGTCAGCTGCTTCAAGCACAGAGATCGCAGGCCCAGCGTCCAAGGTGCAGGTGCAGAGAGGAGTGCAAAAGCTTTCCCCAGAGCTGTACGGTCACAGGCAGGGGTCGCTAAGAACACAAAGGGAGAGGCCTGGGAGACCAGCAAGCCAGCTCAGACCGCACCGTCCGCTGGGGCGGGGCCCAGGGAGACTGAGCCCCTTCTCTCAACTCCTGTTGCCGGAAGCAGACGGCTGCAGGTGGAGAGGGTCAGCATTTGACTAAACGGAGCAGCGTCTTACCAAACTCCTGAGAAGCAGATCATTAGAGACCCAGGTCCCAGATGTCCCTATTCAGCACAAGTGTGTTCTCTGCACGCCTGTGACACCCACGGAGGTGCCAATTAATGAGGCCTGCTTTCCACGCCACCGTGCCACCCGGTAATTAAGTCACAGGAATGAGGATGCTGGCTGTTCCACCAACCTGTTGACTTGTGGCCAGTAAATACCAACTTATTGCCAAGAACTGCAAACCTGCCTTTAAAGATGACTAAGATGAAAATCGTTGGGAGATAAAAAAAAAAATGTGGGGGCACCAGCAGCACCCCACTGTCGTCTAGGACAGACCTGACAGAAGAGGGACGTCCCTCTGGGACACCGATCACAGCCCTGGGAATTCACGGGGTGGGTCACCCCGCAAGGTCCCCTCCGAGTGTAGCCCCAGTGCCTCTGCGGGGAGAACCCACCCTCCTCGGAAGGCTCACTGCCCACTGCCCGTGCCTCCAGCAGCAACAGCCCCGCGAGAAGCTGTAGCCCCTTCTCGGGAACGAGACACCAGTTCTGGGGGGTCTGTCTCCCCCGACTACAACCCTCTCCAGCAGGGGTGGCAGATGGGACATAAGGTCCGCCCTGGCGGTTAGGACACCGCCTGCACGTCTTTCCATCGGGCTAAGGAGGGGGTCTCGGCCCGTCCCAGTGAGGCGGACAGGGCGATGGGTCCCGCGTCCCGTGCGCCAGGTCCCGCACCGGCTCCCGTTGGTACGTCGCCGCCAACAGCCTCACGTTCCACGTTAGGGGCGCGGAGCAGGGCCCCGGAGAAGACGGAGCAGCCTGGTCGGG